GACGAGAAAGGTTTGTAATTTTCAATGAAAATAGTGTCTTGTTTTGGGTTCGGTCATTCAATCTTTTGCTTTTCTAAAAGAAATGAATACATTTCGACCCGGAAAAAAAGATTATGATCTTTTCATGCATTGCAAAGATTGGTATCTGACCTGAAATGATGGTTAATACTTCTGTAGTGAGATCAATATTAATGGAGTTCCCTGCTCCTGTACAATGCGCAAAATTACGGCAAGATTAATAAATGCGTTACAAGTAACGCAACAAGTAAAATCTACAAACAAAATACTGACAAAGTTTAACAAACGTACCCGAAAAAAAGACAGTGTCTCAAAAGGACAGTTTCTCTCTTGACACTGTTATTACTGCTGACTCCCTCGGCAATTCTCGAGAAAAAAAGAGAAATCCAGTTTCATATGTTTTGGGTTTTAAAATTCTAAAAATAGCTTTGTAAAAATTGCTGAAGAAGTCAACAATAATAGCTATGTCAAGAGGAAAATCGTCCTTCTGGTTCATTGTCCTGTTGTTTTTGTTTGTTTTGGGGTTTTTTATGGTTGTCTTGGGTTTTTTGCGGGTATGTTAAATTTTGCTATAATATTTATTTATGAAATATCTTCTAATATATTTTGCGAACTTCATGAAACATTCAGACAATTATACACTTTTTTTCTTTTTTTTACACTCATATACTTTTTATTTGTCACTCTGAATCGTTGATACCTCGAATTTTTCATGTTTATGATTTTACACATTGTTTCCCTCTTTTAAGTTGTTAAACATCATTCAGCAATTATCGGAGGAGAAATTCAACCAAGAAAGAATCTACAACTTACTTGTTCAGATCAAAAGTTTTTCTATCAGTGTATCTTGATTCAGATGTTAGAATTTGTTGAGTGTCCTTTTTGTCTAAATAAGAGTTTTCGAAATGGTATTCATCTCTCTGCTAGACCTACTGAAGATGTTTTCAGCCTAACATGTGCGCTGATTCTTTCAGCCGTCTTTTCCGCTTCTATTTATTGTCTTCACTTCATTCTTCATGTCGATTACCGCTTTTTATTGTATAAACCGAAGATCTTTCAAATCATTACTGATGTACTCTTTATGTATGTTGTCCGGAGAAAGATATTGAAATGAGGCTCATCACATAGAGAGGGTAGCTAGGATTTGACAGCCACTTCAGAAATGAATGCCATCTCGGAGTTTTTGACTAAAAAAGAAAGGGAGCTCAAAAAATTTCACTACCTGAATTACGACCCTCATAGAGTTTCTCTGAGTATAGACATTAGGTTCAAGGTTCCAGAATGACGCCACTAGATTGTCCAAGAGACGCAAGAGATACACGAGCATAATGGATTAAAGCAATTTTTTTTTTTTTTTTTTACATTTTGAGTTCAAACCTTAGTTCTGGTAGTGCTGAAAAGTCACATACCTTAGTTCAGTGGAAGAAATGTGCAAGCATTCCTTACAAAATTCTTGGAACTTTAAAACAACAAACACCTAAAGAAGGTGTCAAGATACAACCTATTTGAGAATGCTGGGATGAATATTATAATGATAATTACAATGGTAATTCCTCATTCCCAAAATCCTGACGAAAATTATGAAATCTTTTTTTCAGGCACTTATTACTGTCTCTGAACTGAAATATGCAACCTTTTCTGGAATTAATATATGAATTCAATGTGCTAATTATTTTTTACTCTAAATAAAGAGTTTTAGACATCCTCAAATATTCAGCCAGATTTTTTTTATATTTTCACAGCAATAACGATAACATCGTTGCTCTTGAAACGTTTTATCTTTAAATAGAACAATTGACAAAATTTTAAGCATCATATGCAGAAAAGGTGGATGACAAAAAATAGAGATTTTATGCGCAAATAATATATATATATATTGCGCTGTTTCGGAAAATCGGTGAGTTAGTTTCGTTGTTTGTCCAAGGCCAACGGAAGTGTGTTTTGTGAGTACAGCAGCGGACGGAGTGGGGTTGCTGATTGAACACCAGAAGTTGAAGGTTCACAAATTAAACTGTAGAACTGACATTTGATAAAGCCAAAAAATGCAGGATGAAGCACTATTTCACCATTACGAGTTTCAGTACATTTTTTTATTTTTTATTTTTTTTATTTTTTGATGCAGTTGTTTTTTTTTTATCAACAAATTACAACTTCGTATTTTTTTTCGGTGACAAACAATGAGAAAGAAAATACCAATGATTTTCTTTAACTGATCAAAGTTCAAAACTCAATAACAAAGACATATTTCTTAGTAAACCCTAAGCCTTTGCTTCAGTTTTATTTACTTATGACAAACAAAAGGTTGAAGATTTCTTTTCATGCGTATCTTTAAACTAGGTAAGAAAAATCAGCTATTTTAGATACGGAGAAACTCAACACTGAAGAAACATGGTGATTTTCTCAAATTTAAGTGGATTTTAAAATCAGTTGTGAGAGATTGTTTATTACGAATTCAAAGCAGTAAATCTTAGTTTGGGGGATTCCTATTAAATGGGCGGGAGTTGAAATTGAATTCTGCACAACAAAAGAACAGTCGTAACAGTTGCAGTTAAATAAACTGATGTATTGATGTGCGGAAAGGCCATTTTTGTCCCTGTTTAGTTCTTTGATGCTAGATGTATTAGTTATCACTTGTTTAGATCATCAACGTTTCGAACTTTAAAAAAATACTGAAGCCTCTCATAAGCTAATTTTATCCTCAACGCTAATTACTATCGGTTATAATTTTATCTCAGACGGTCACTTCTACTTGTAACACTTTTTACTCAAATGAGATTATTATTATTGCTGTTGTTGTTATTATTATTATTATTTGTGATCCTCTCCGACTGCGATGTTTCGTCCGGGTGATGATAATCATATCTAAGCCCCGACCTGTAGTTTAGAGACGCAACGACTTCATAAGCTGTTGCAAGCATCGCTGCTACCTGTGCACTTGCAGTGATGTTAGATATCCCCAACACGTATTACGAGTTAGAGAGATTATTGGAGATTATCCCAATTGTGTCAACCACAAAATGGACAAATTCAATTACTACTTGGTGCATTTCCCCGATTGGCCCTACCAGGTTTTGGTACTTTTTTTTTCTCGCTTGCTTTGCCTTAACAATGTTCATATCCCAAGGTAGAGCAGCGCCTATCAGGAGCCATTCATGGCTGCGCTTGTACACCAGTACGATATCAGGGCAATTGCTCTCCAAGCGCTTGTCACTCAAGATTGTCATAAATCATATGAGCTTCACTTGCTCATTCTCGACTACAAACGATGGTGAATATGCCTACCACTTCTCATCGCAATCGAGGCGCCATACTTGCTACTTAGTTCTCAGTGTATTCTGAGGGTTCCTTTGTCCTTGCGTCCACTCTAATCTTTTTGTGCCAACTGGGTGCAGCAACTGACAATGTGTTGCACACTTTCAGTAGTTTTCCCACAAAAGCCTACACAAGTGTGTTTTATCTAGCTGATTCATCAATGGAATTTCTTCTTAAACACTGCGCTTGTGTTGAACAGGTTATCTCTCCGGTTTCCTCCTTCAAGAACCACTTCCTAAGCCACTTCCATGATTCCGTATCTGGTACCTTATGAATTTCTTGTGCAAACGCCTTTTACTTTCATGCTGCGACTTCCCCAGCATATATTCCCTCCCTCCCTGTGATCAGCCAATCTCTCTCTCTCTCTCTCTCTCTCTCTCTCTCTCATGAACTTTTCATTCAGTGCAGTCATGCAAAGACTTACACTTTGACGTTATACACTCTTCTACTTTTACCAAACCTCTTACGTCACATTAATTCTAGGATGTAAGCACCAGTTTATGATCTTCCTTGTCTTTCGGTTAGGTCCTCTTTGGTCCATTCAATCATGCCCCACAATATCATCTGCTCAAACATTGCTGCCTGAAAAAAGATTTTCACCATTCAATTGGATCTACACAGGTTCTTTACACACTGAAAATACTCCTCTGGTATCTGTTGTTTAATCCTATCATTGCGAGTTTTGTTCATTTGTAGAAATGTCAGATATTTATAATCACTACTATCCTTCTCATTCATAGATTCCCCATCAGGGTAATATATCCCTGTGCTATCCACCTTTATTTTCCCCTTCACTTATCAAGTCTAAATGACAACCTGATATCCTGGGAGTATATCCGAACGGTGTTTATCAAGGAGTGCAATTTGTCATACAACTTAATATCATCCATGAATAACAGGTGGTTGATAGGATGTTTCTGAACATTTGCGAGCTTGTAGTCAACTTTCGTTTTATTGAGAATAAGAATTAATGGCGACCTGACGACCACAAATAATATTGAGGGAATCCAACGCTTGGTTTATACTTCACCAAGTTCTTTTCCTCCCGATGTTAACGCTGTGCTCCAACTAGTCATGCTCTTCCCTATGATTGTTACAATGTTCTTAGCTGTACCATGAGTTTGGTACCATATCGTAGGCCCTGTGGTAATCTATTCAGACCATAAATAATTCTGTCATGCGTCTCTTGAAATTCTTAAGAATTGCCTTGTCAATCAGAAGTTGGTCATTAGTGCCTTGTGACCGCTTTCAGCACCCTTCCTGTTCATCAGGAAAAGAACCTTTTCAGTCGGGTGCAGGAAGATCTTATCATTAATGATGCCTGTCAACAACTTCCGCTTCAAAGGCAAACAAGTATTAACTCTGTAATTGCCTTTTCATGGGTCTTGCATTATAAAGAATTTCCTCCCATCTTATCCATTCTGAGAGGATATTCCAATCTAAGAATTCTTGCAGATATTGTTGCAACCTCTTATGTGGACATGTTGGCTTTTTACCCAGGAACCTTGCACAAGTTCTGGTCCAGCTGATTTCCATCCAGTTAATCATCTTACCAACTACAAACTTTCAATATCCTCCAAGGTAATGACCATATTTTCATGCGGGGATTTCTTGCGCAGTTATTTTTCTGCCCCTTGATGTACCTTCATTGTGATTGATGCCATCCGGGCTTACGGCTATATCACGCTGAAATATCAGTTCTCGTATGATCACCGAAGTTAAGCAACGTCGAGCCTAGTCAGTACCTAAATAGATGATCGCTTGGAAATACCAGGTAGTGTGAACTTGAATGTATGGATGGTGTACTAGATAACGACTCTGAATTGGAATCGGGGAGCCGAGTGCCAATTCCACTCGAGTTCATTATATTCGCGCAAATACCCTTGGGAAAGGTATGAATTCACCTCTTCTCCCCCAGCTACGGGTTAATTAGTAGGGTTGTATAATTAAATCATTATTGTCACAAAAAAATTATTAGAATCTAAAAATATTTTCTGGCTTTAAATAACCTTCAAAACATTGATAAGTCATAAAAAATCAATGAATCAATCAATTGATGTCATCCGAACAAATCTTGCTCAGAAGTTCTGTTGGCCCAGGAGAGTGGAGTAGTTGAGTTTCCTCACCAGTTTTGCTACCTAGCTCATTGTAGAACAAACTTTGGTACGTTGTAAACAAGTTCTTCCGAAGAACTGAAGACAATGTTCCTCATATCGCTTTATCTTCACTGCATTAATCTTCTGCTTTACTGCATGTTACTAACAGTGTTCCCTTTTCAGTCAGCTGATATTTGCGATTCATTCACATTTGATCACTCTTCCACACCTGACCTCCTCTTGATCTTACTCGTGTCCTTTCAATAGGTTTCTATGCTAATTTTAAGTCTCCTCTTCCAGAACGGCTGGGTGGCATAATCGGTAGCAACTTGGAATGAGAAATTCTAATTCCAGTCGGGTTTGTTACATTCACTTACTCGCAAATGCCCTTGGAATCCATCACCTCCAGCTATGGCTTAAATAGTAGGACTGGTATAAGAAAAAAAAATCATTAAAACAATTGTTAATACAATATCCTCTGAAAAAGTAATTATTCTTGAAATTCAAAATGTTTCGGCTTTAACAATGGGTTGATAGTTGATTAGTCAATCAATCCAGAACGACCTCATCGACTGTCTTTGATATTTTTCTCTTCAACTTTCTCATCCCCGTCTGTAGTGGCATAAGCTACAGCCTAGAGCAAATCATTAGTCTCGGGGATATTCTTTGTTGATATCAGTTCAAATGCTTCATTTATTTGCTGAACTTTTAAGAGTTTTTCTGTCACACGACTAAAAATAACAGCAGTTTGCGTTCACCTATTTCCATTTCCTCAAACAACCTGTTGTGAATATCTACTACCTCTTCACTTGTGGAAACGGGTTCTGATGTCATATTGTGATTTGTTCCTCCGTCTGCATACTTATCAAGTTCAAAAGATATCCTTATATCCTGTCTGGGATACCGCTTCTTTATCTTCAGGTGGAGTCTGAACACCTTCAGACTGTACACCATGTCCGAGATCTTCAGCCTTTTCTGTACCCTCTAAAGTTCTCATACCACATTCCCTAATCTCATTCTCCCCAATATTAGTTAACTGCTTCTTTAATCTAATCAGTCAGACCTGATCAGCAAATCGCTACTCACTGACGCCCGTCAGCTCCTCACTGGTGCACATTCTTTCCACATATGCCCGTTTCTCAGGTTCACTCCTGGCGTAACATTCACACAGCAATTTATTGTTAATGTGCTTGTACCTTTTTGATAGTGCCCAGTGCTCCAATTATTATAGGTATAACAGTAGTTTTAAGGTGCCATATTTTTTAAATTCTTATGTCTCCTTAACAGATATTGTTAATGTTATCTGATGTCGCTGTAAAGGCTTTTTGTTTTTAGTCTTTTGGTCTATTAGCTTTTATCTGTCATAACGAATGGTAAAGTTCAAAAATTGTAACTTATTATTGGTACTGTAAAATAATTGTCGTAACACAGTATCGTCGGTACCAACTGATTTATCATACCAAAACATACCCCAGTAAACCCCTCTCATTAACCAATTGGAAACTAAAGAAGAAAGAGATGTAACTGAAAGTAAATAATAGTAAAACAGTAACTGGGATGCATAAACTTTTATGGTTGCAAAGAAATACATCCATCGTACCAGTCAACCAAAGAAGAATGATCGCTGAAGGCTGTGTTTACATAATGATTTCTTTGTTTTATTTTCAGCTGTACTGCTAGCTTACAATTTATATACTGTAATGTTTTTTGCTGTTGCTAACGTGCTTTTGTAAGGTTTTGCAATGTAGCCTACTAATAGCCTACTTTAGACATTGCATGATTAAATACAGTATAAAAGAATTCTGGAATAAACCCTGCTGAAATGGGCAAGGGGCATCGAATATGACCGTGAGTCTTTTGTACCGTTATACATGGTAATTTGCAATTTGACATTTGTTAACTTAATCGTAACATGTTAACGGTAAAATATCCAGTATTTAAAATGGTTACATTACATAGATTATTCGTACGAGTATCCTGATCTTTGTGGTTTCGATTTAAGCATATCAGCTCGTGCATTCTTCGGCCTTCTAAACCGAAATTCTGAAAATAATTATTCACTCAGAAAAGCATATCTTTGTTTCTACCACAATTTTATAACTAATATACCTTACATGATTGGTGTTTCCCGTAAGAATGACAAGACTTAATCTCAAAACTTCAAACATAATTGCATATCGATCAAATTTTATTTTCAGGTGGATACAGGTTTGATCATAAAATAAATAATAATAATAATAAGTCATTGGAAATTGTAAAGATCCAAACAATATGAAGTACCTTTTTATTCAGTTAATCGAGGTGAAACCATTTGTGCCAGTTAAACATGTTTGAGTCACAGAAGTGCTTGTTTGTCTAACTGCGGAAAGCAAACAAAAATTTATTTCGGGTGAACAGTCCATGCCAATCAAATATGCTTTAGTTGAAAGACACTTTGCAACTTACCAGTTTACGCTTTCTTGATTCAAAGATTTTACAACGATTTTGTGATTTTAATCAAACACTAGTTTTTTTCCATTTCGTTTATTTAGAATATCTTTCTTTTATAAGTAAAATACATTTAAGGATTTTGTTTCAATTACATCTGATAAAGGCATAAAAACATGACGAACTAAAAAGTAAAAAACAAACAAACGAGAAGCAGGGGCTTGCAGATTTCTGCTAAAGGAAATTCGATCCTCACTGGGTGCCACTTTTTTGTAATTTTTGTATCTTTGTACTAATTTAGTAACTATTACTAAACATTGGATAATACGTTAATCACCACTATAAGAAAAACGTTTATTACTGTTTGAAAAAATCATGTCTATATACTATAGGTTATGCTAACAAGGACAGAACAGAAAATTGTTTATATATTTGGTTTGTATATTTGGGGAGGAGTTCTTTTTAGCTAAAGTCTTATTAGAAAGGCCTTAGTTCATTAATTGGTAATTATGACTTTTAATATATAGTATGATATCCAACTGTTATTTTTGTATAAATATTTTTGCTCGGGAAATTCAGTGTCCATTAAATTCAGTGATGGACGAAAAACCGTTCCGAATTTTAGAAACAACTTAAGGGATATTAGAGTTCTTTTCAATTCTAAATTTAGGAAACTAAACTTCTACACGATTATGTCAAAAGAATCATTTTCATCGTCAATCGAAAATGATCGTACTCTTACGTTTGTGTGGGATGCTGTATTGTTAATGCAGCTTTTGAGGCCAAAAATACTATCATGAAGAAATAAAAAAGAAAACAGACAGTTTATTACAAAAATTCGCTGCAGGAAAAAAAGTGAAAGCGCGCGAAAGTGTGAGCAAAATCTCTGATATTAGAGATTTTTTGGTTTTACTGTTTTTGTATCGAGATTCATATTGTCAGGCATACAATCAGACAATACGTTTCACTGTACGTCCTCTCTCTCTCTCTCTCTCTCTCTTTGTCTCTTTCTCTTTCTCTCTCTCTTTGTCTCTTTCTCTCTCTCTGTCTCTCTTAATCTGTCTCTCTCACGCTCTCTTTAACACTGGTTATGTTGAACATCAATATCAACTATAATCAGAGATAAAATTGTGTTAAATAACAAGATGACATGTGATATACAAAACAATAATACAGAAGTTCCTGATTGGTATGATACCATTTAAAGATAATGACCACAGATGACGACTGTAATTTATTGTACATGTTTAACTGAATGCAAACGTAAATTCAAAGAAAAAGACTGCATAAATACGTTTTCCGTGCATAGGCTCCACGCATACATCTGCTTTAACCAAAATGAAACGAACAATTTATTGAGCAGTTGGAGTTACTCTCGTTCCAAAAACCAAAACTTTAATTCAGAGCCAAACATTAGCTATATATTCTCTAATTCAAACAAACTCAACACAGACCAACTTGGACGTCAACACTAAAAAACGCGACACAAACCAGCCTTCTTGTGAACACCAACACACTGAGAGAGAAACAACAACAGCCATCAGCAATGTCTAATTTCACCATTCTTTTTTTCTGTTGCCTTACTAACTGCAACAGATAAAAGTTACTAGTTTTATATGTATATAAATAAATTATACATTTATTTGCTAATAATCAAATGTATTCTTTTTTTCCTTGAATTTACGTTTGCCGAGGCGGAGAAGGAATTAACCTCCACAACAGTAACAACAACAAGGTTCTGTCTTTCAGGTTACCCATTTCCGCCTCCGCAACACTACGAAAATGACATCAACAAACTTGTAGAACGATGGAAAAAAGTTGCTAAAAACAATGGAGAATATGTACTTGACTAATAAATGTTGTTTTTTTGTTTTGTTTTTTTTTTTTGTGAGTATGTAAAATTTTCTTATAATTTTCTAATTGAGCACGAACTTTTGCATTGATTTAAATATATATGTTAATAAGAATCTATTTTCGTTGAAATCTTTAATTCTGCGAAGACCATACTTTGACATTTTCCTTAGAGATTTTTCAATGGATAATGATGAATTTTAATTTCGAGTAACTTTGAATTACCGCGTAAGTAAATCAGTGGAGTTTTTTTTAACCTTATTTTTCATTTCTTTTTCTATGCAAAAAACTATGCCCTATTACTGATGAGATCCATTTCGTAATTGTATGACTCATTTTACCTGTTTTGGTTTTCGCCCTCATTTTTTGCTCCAGATCTTTGCCCTTAAAACATCAAAATGAATATTCCTTGTGATTTAAAGTTTTAAAATTTAGCTCCCGGGATAAGAAAAATTCTTTGAAAGCCAAAAGGAAATATGAATAAATACCCATTTTTTAGGTAATAATATTACATTTTTTACGCACACCAACTAAAAAGATGTCCTTCAAATGGCGCCATACCTGTATCGTGTTACGGTCAATTTACATTCAAAATATTTAACTAATTTGAAAGCAAAAATCAATCGAAAATGACGACAAACGGTTGAAATACTGTTTAACTAATAAAAATCCATGATGTGAAGGGTTCAAAGCATCTGCAAGATTCCCACATGAGCAATGTTTACCAATTACTAACATTAAAAGATGGAAATAAAAATGTCCAAATTAGTAATGAATAGTTGCGTAGTGACTTTAACAGGTGGGGCTCACTAGTTTAGAGCCAACTTACAGTCCAACGTATTTTTTTCAGTAGTATATGTAGAAATTCACAACACGAGAAAGCTTAATATGAAAGTGTCCATAAATTTTACAAAAACTAATCAAAACTCTATCAGAATTTTCAGGTTTCACATTAACAAAGCAAACCGCCCAAAACACTTCGTTCGTCAAATTTATTGTTACATCATATTGAATATCTGAAGTGGGTCTATGAATTAAATATTTCTTAAATAATTTCTCGGCTTCGATTTCAAGGGTCGATCCATACACGAAATCGACATATATGTTGGTATATTGAGCCTTGGTAGTAAAACAGCAGCAATGATGGCTTTGGTGATAAGCAACTTATCACCAAAGCCATACTTACTACTCAACCAAGTTTACACCCTTTATTTATGTCTGTTTTATTTGTCTCTTCATTCATTTATTAAACTACGATATTACGTTTATGAGCATTACACCCACTCCTTTATTCATCTCTACGAACGAAAATTCTCGTTTGACAAACTTTTTATCAATACGCTTCCTTTGCATCTGAATGCAAAAGGCAACACCCTTCTTCCCAATCACAAACACATTTTTATTGATGTGTTTAGTGCACATCAAAAGAGAAAGACACAAGACCTTCATTTTTAAATCAATTATTATTTTTTTCATTTGACCCCTAAAGAGCCTTTTTTAAGACACGCTGCCATCACTCAAAAGACACATTTATTTTGTTTCGGGGGCCTTAAATTATTAAAAGAGGAAATGGCGAAATAAAATGCCTTAACAAATCAGCACGCAATTTCACACAGTCAATCAATTTTCTTTGACGCCCACACATCGTTCACCATTTTCCTTTCTATATATGCGTTTTTTTTTTTGTTTTTATTTTGTTTTTTTTTTGTCTTATCACTAAGGAGAATTGATAACTTACAGAATTTTTTAATGTATATGTTGCACAAAGTTTCTATGGACACATCAAGGCTTCAGTCATGTAATTCCTATGAATTTATTTTAAATACATCTTTCAAAAATAGATTGTATCCAATGCCTTCTGATCGATAAGTGACTGGGTGCTTCCTGAAAAAGTCGTTAACTTAAATAAGCTGTCTGCTTTAATGCGTCATATTTTTCAAATACTCGCAGTCTGATAACCCAGCGTCATAGATCCAAATTTGTAACTACAAAAAAATAAATAAATAAAAATTCCATTCTTGTGCTACAGTCAATGAGTCCGTGTGTGCGTTCGACCATTAACTGCTGCAGCTTCCTGTTGGTTTTGTAGCAGCAGCAGTAGCTGTGACGGCCATCGCTGTTGTCATCTTTCCTCCATCCTCGTCTTCCTAGCAGCAGCAGCAGCAGTGATTCTAGACTAGTAGCAGCACCACAGAGAGTACCGCTCGTTTCTTTACAAGTTCACAGCAGTCACACACGACATACGTACCCTCTACTCTTGTAGCAGGTGTTATCAATGCGATAAGATTATCCACCCTTCGTTAAAGCGAAGCATTTATCCTGGCATCGTCACAAAGTGATTCAAGATGCAGACCAGTTCCATTCTAAAACTTGCTATATTATTCTCTCTTCTTTACATTGGTGCCAATGCCCTCGCAAAGGTAAGCGAAAAATGTTCTTTTCGCCCTTTTGGTTCCATTAAGTCAGAGCAAAAAATAAAAGTGCTTCATTTAATCAAGCAGAGGAGAACGAAAACAAAAAATCTACATCCTAACAGATAAGGCAGACATTTTTGTTAATATGATTTTTTTATTTAAATGTTGCTCTGCTAACCAATTATTACTGCCTGCCATTTTTATCAATTTGGGGATCAATTAATGGAATGCCAATGTCTGATTTGGGTCTAAAAATGTTTTCTTCCTTTTCAATCTCTATTCAAGGATTATCCAATGCTTAACTTGAGCCCTCATCCACACATTTCTCATCATGTCTCATTGCTTATTCATCAACACTTTCTTCTAATTTGATCAATGGCAAAATGCATAAAATTAAATTTAGATCAACTGTCACGTTGAAATCTTTTATTACCATTATTCAAACCTGTTATCATATTTTGTGTGTAAATATCTTTAAACCGATTTCATCAGTTGTTCGATGTTTTAATTGGATTAATATTAAATATCAATTAAATCAAACTGATAATTTTCTTTATTTTCATTTTTTTTTTACACACTTGAACGAAAAACTGATATACCAGATCATCTGCTTTCCTGTTTGCTTTTCTTGTTTTGATAAACGAAGGTTTTTTTAATGCACTGAATTTCACTTCCTCTAAATTACTGAATATCACTTCGTACCTAGATTTGCAATTACAAACATCAATAAAAAGCATAAAATAAATTCATTGACTGAGGCAAAGTTGTTGAGAAAGGATTTATTGAAAGAGAATGAAAAGAGCAGAATGAAATGTCAATTCGGTTATGAGGCTGTATGAGTCGGGGGGGGGCAGACATGAATGTATTAGTCATTAACCTTTCAATAAACTTTTGCTTTATTAATTTCTAATTTGAATTTTTCCATATTTTTAATTTTATCGGGTAAATAATTTCCTAAATAAATTTTTAAATCCATTTTTCACATTTGTTCTGATGGTTCTAACAAATCTACTCAATTTCCCAGCTACTAAAGAAATCGGTAGGCTTATGAACACGGATTTTTTCAATGTCTATATGCCTCGTCGCTTATTTACTTATATCATTTGCTATATCTACATATTTTCTTTGCTTCCATAAACATCTGATAACAACTACGACTGATTCGGGAGGGTGGGGTAAAAAGTAAAAAATCAAAAACTTGATTGACGCATCCCTTTCTTTTTTATGTGTAGGATATATTCTGTCTGAAGTCACTTTTCGTTAGTTTTGATTCAAAAACCTTAAGATTTGACAATTCTTGCAAACTTCATTGATTAATAAATTATTACTGCACAAAAGAGTTAAGTTTTAGCCTTTTTAAATGTTTTTTCAGTTTCTCCTGCATTTAACAACTCTTTGCTCTGAATGTTAAGACTGTCTCCCACCCTCTAGCCAGTCAATCATATTTTTTTCTCTTGAACCTTCTTAGCATTAGTCATAGACAAACAGCAACAGCCGTAATTTCAGACGCCATTTCCTTTAGTTTGATATTTTTCACTAATAGTGAGAAATGAAGCAAAATGGCTGATGTCATGGGCGCATTTATGATAGCCCCCAACAAATATATGGGGAAAATTTTCTTCCAAAAAGAGCTACTCAGCATTCTTAATAAAAATTTTCAGAAGTAAAAAAATTTCGTTCATTACAAATGATTCTTTTTTTTATATATATATATATATATATATATATATATATATATATATATATATATATATAAATATGAATGGATAAGAGGGAAAGGCAACCAAAACTTGTTTAGGAGTTTTTACAAGAGTGACTGAATCTTCATAAAAATATTCATTCATCAATTGCAATGAGTGTAATTACAGACTAGACTAGATGTAAATATAAGAATAGCTATTTGTAAATAACTATATAAGTAACATTCTATTCACGCTACAATTATAGTATATTGTTAATTACTTTAAACAAAGTAATCTCTGGTTTTATTTATATATTCAATAAGTAAAGACACGTTTCCGCCTGCAACGAAAATCGAACTCTCAAGACTAAGGTTTGAAGTCAAACGTCTTATTTAATAAAACTGGAATTTTCATGATGAATAGTCAATCTATACTTTTTCAGAGCGTAGCAAGGTAACTGCGATTTTTCAAACTGCTGCTGTCCACAATTACACCTGTAACGCACAATAAGATTATGTACGTTTGACAGGCAACATAGAGACACCAAGTTGTGTTGTGGTTTTAGGACTGATTCTGTTAGTCAACGATAATAGTGGCCTCCATTTTCATTATTAAACAGACTCTCCGACGAAAGAAGTCGTCATTTATACTTACAGCTTTATGCAGTGGTTCCCCCGGTTCAAAGTGATAGAACTGGACAAGTCTGAGTCATCACAGGTTGCGACTGCAGAGGTCACATGACGGCACATAAAATACATGGTAAGATTTTGAAACAAATTCATAATTGATGTTGGAGAAATGGTCGTCTGTTAAAACAAAATTCGGATAATGTGTATTAACATTAGAAAACCATAGGTCTGGCTGTATGCGTGCAAATTTACTTCTTTTATAATGCATTCCTTAGAGTATAAAGTATAATATAATATTCGGTATTGCTTAAGCTTTGTTTTGTCTGAAAAAAACTGAACTGCGCAGCTCGTCAAGAAATGAAACTCAAGAGATTTCGATAAACTTCAAAGTTTCTCTTGTCATCAGAACATGGTTATTCACAATATTAAAAAAAATTCAAACATATACCTGCTTAAATTTGGTTTGTTTATTGACTGAAAGAAATTAAATATATTTTTTCTTAAATATGTTTTTCTTAAATATATTTATTTATACAATATGTAATTATCGTTTTTTACGTTTTTCTACCTTACACTTCCAGTCAACAAATGCGAATCACCCTTATAAAACTTTACTGATCTTAGATATTCATGATTCAGTTGACACATTTAGACGATAAACGGTATTTCTTTCTACTGGCCACTCATTGTGATTCCTACTTTCAAAGCAACTAACAATTGAATAGATATACACAGTGTAAACAATATAAAAGAAATTTTATTTACCAGACGGATATGAAAGAAACAGACTCTTCCTCCCTTCGATGAAAGGTTAGGATTAAAAAGCCACCAATAAGCATCCAATCAGGAATTATGTTTCTGGTACATAGAATGCATAAACGAAAACTTCAGCGAAGAACTCAATAAATATTGCTGCTTTAGGATAATAAAGATTTAATATGTCATTTTTTTCACACATATTGGGAAAATGTGCGTCCTATATGCTGTCAAATATAGTAAATATGTTTATTGCTATGGTAGTACTAATTTAAGATATAACAATATAAATTTAAAATTTCGTGAACTATTCGTACTAATGTCCTTATATTTGCTGTTTTCATTTGTCTGTTTCGATTGTTGCGTAGTTGTATTTCATCTTTGTCATGTTCATGGCTTTTTCATCACAACTGCAATTAGAACAAAACATAATTCCGAACGGCTAAATTTCAGCCGACACTTGTCTCTTTTTATACCTGGGGATGATTAGAGAGTGCACCGAGTGAAATGTAGTGATTAATACAACAAAATAGGAACATTTGTTAATTGGCATACTTTCTCAAAACTTTTCACAACTCTCTCTCTCTCTCTCTCTCTCACACACACACACACACACACACACACACACACACACACACACACACAAAGTGTGTATATATGCTAACAGGTTATCGGCCTAACTCACTTTCCAAAATATGACCAAAGATCAGATATCTTAAAGGGCTCCTTGATCGGACCTAGAAATATTTCAGCACCCACTTGTTTCAAAAGCTACCCATTTCAAGCAAATTCTTCCGTTTGTGAAAGTCTAATGAATCATTTTCAGTTCGAATCCGTATAGATTCTCTTTGCCTCACTGTAAACGGGCTCGATTGTCGTGGGAGTATTCCATTGTCGATAATGCAAACGATAAAGCACCCACCCGAAAAATGCATGAAAAGTAATCACGAATTTGCGTCTCTTTGTTGGTGCCACCAAATACGATGGGGTACTGAAAAGGTTTCTCTTCGACTAGAAAGGGATTTCAAAATAAATTCTGATAATTATTCGTAATTAATTATTGATAGGCAAAAACGACTTATCGCTACTTCTAGCATTTTTCCCATTATAATTTAACACAAAATGATATCCAACAAGTTTGGATATGATGAGAGCCAAAGTTGATGTCGTAAATAAATGATTGTCTAAAAATCTCGCCATTCTCGTTATCGATAGCAAAACATTTTGCATCGACTTCTATTAAATTCATCATGAAATGAAAAACATATGTCATTTCTGAGAAAAACATAAAAGTCTGAAATGTCTTAAACTTGTTGACAGAACTAAAAAAATCTTAAACGAAATCCAATCGTGTGAACCCAGTGTTGGGAAAAGTAATAGGCAAACAATGACATGAAGCAGTAAAAAAATTATTTCAAAAAGCTGTGACTAATCAAACAATTTTAATTATAATATAAATGGTATCTATGATTTTAAAATAATTTAAGATATAAATAAATTATGGCGGTTTTATAAGTTTAAAAAACAGAAAACACCATTTTCACTTCGTCTGCGAAGAAAGAAATGCATAAAGATGGGCAATTTGCCGGTGTAGCGGAATTTTTAGTGACGTAATTATTACACACAAATGTGTAAGAGAGAGAGGGAACTTTCCTGAACAACAATAGTGTCAGCTTGGTGGTTATGTCTACCCTGATGAGCCTGGATCTCTAAAATTGTACGTTGGTGGTTTGACTAATTTTGTTTATTGATTTATAGTCTTATTTCAGCCCCATCAGAATGTCTTTTTTCGAATCTGTTTGGTGCACAGAGCAAGCAGCAAGAATTGAGACGTTAACAAATGCATCCCCAATTAATTTCAGTGTTGATTCCAGCATTCTACTCGAATATATGTAGATATTTACTAAACTTATTCTGGAAAGGGATTGAACTCATTTCC